AATAATAATAATAATAATAATAATAATAATAATAATAATAATAATAATAATAATAATAAAGGAACGAAATTCGGTGAAAATATAGATAATCATGTATAATAGATGTATGAAAAAAACGAAGCAGAAAAAATGTTGTTCGGTGCCAGAATAAATTGAAAATAAGAAATATGTGTGTTGTGTCGTAAATTGCCATCCCAACACACATAAATAATAATAATAATAATAATAATAATAATAATATAATAATAATAATAATAATAATAATATTATTATTATTATTATTATTATTATTATTAATGGAAGTGTATAAAACTAATAGTAAACAAAATATGTATGGATGTGGCATTCCAAGGTAGTTGGTAACTTCTTTGGTTATTCCTAGGTGAAATCCGAGTTCGAATCTTATCCCAAACAATTTTATCATTTTTTTTTTCATCAGCCTTTTAAATGAATTCTTTTTTTGTCCGTAGATTAATTGAAAAGTTTCGTATATGCCTCCTCCTTCTCAGATGCACAAATGAAAAAAAAACCACTACAGCTCCTCCAAAGAACCTGTGAACGCCTCCTGCTTCTTCTCCATTTTCCGACCACCGATCCTCCTTCACCGGTGCATCTCCCCTTCTCATCTCTCCGTCGCACCTCATCTCTCCATTACCCATCTTGCTCGATTTCTTCTCCAAAGGTAAATCCTAGATTTTGTTTTCTTCTCCAACAAAGCCACCACCGTTAGACATCTCCTCCCTTGTGAAGCCACGGCCGGAGACCGTCGCTCCCAACAGATAAGGTTTGTTTTTGTTCATCTTTTCTCGGTATCGATTTTTTCTCCTGCTGTCGAGCCCTCCCCTGATGTCGATTTCTTTTCATAGCTTTCATTCCTCTTGCTATACAGATATGCCGAAATACACGACAGACTGACCAAGTAAATGCCACCGACCTCACTCATCATCTTTTGGTTTTGGTTTTTTTCGATTCTGATTCATTTTCATGTTAATTTCTTTCGTTTTTTTGGTTATGTCTATTTTATCTCATTTGACCATCAAAGTTCTAATTAGTTCATTACAGTCCTAATATCAAATTTTGTTACAGTGTTGGCAAGCCTCTGTTATTGTTGGCAACCCTCTGCTGGTCAGTTGGCAAGTTGGTAGTGATCTGATATGAAATGAAAATGTGAAGATAACAAATACCAACTCCTTTCTTCCTGGAGCATGACAAAAAGGTAACTTTTTTACATGATTTTGGATGGAATTTTGTGATTTCTGAATACCCTTTTTGACATTTTCCTACTTCCTCATCTTTTAGGTCAATGTTAATAGAAGATAATATAATTCCTTTCCATTTAGATGAGGATTGATGTTTGGTGGTGTCAAAGATACTCCCACCACGTTGCAGAAATAATAGGACCAGGGAGTGATACAGTCTTTCATCAAACTTGT